GAACAAGTCCTAACCGGCCATGCTGATGATATCTAAGGTTAGGGACAACTGGTCCCTGAGAACTGTGCGCCAGCCAGGAACGTGCATCAGTTTGACGAGAAATGAATCTGAGAACAGGTCCGCAGGGATGTGACGGGGGTGGGGCCATCACTTCCCAGCTCTTTTGGAGCATCAGGTCTCACGGTCCTCTGCTCTGTGCCGCTAAATGTTACTTTTGGCAAGTGATTTTGCCGCGACTCGATTTCCTTGGTTCCTAGACTTCTGTGTACCTTCGGGTTATTGGACTAAACCTTTCCCCTCATGGGAGGGTTGCAGCGCAGGACTGCCTTAGGCGTCTCGTACACATCCCAAGGATGTGAAATGGGTCCCTCAGACAAATACTCCGTGGGGAGATGAAACGGGGGCAGAACTCAAGTGGCGGGCTTACATCTTGGATAAACGCTCGGTACACTGGTTGACTAAGAAGTAGGAGCCACTGGTGCCTCCCTCCCTCCTCCGCACCTGCACAAACCATCGACCGCCCTTCGGGGTTGGTCGCCGGGCTCCTCAGGGGGAACGGCTACATCCTTCGTGGATGGTCCTGAACCTCAGCTACAAAGACTTTAGACAACCTTGCTAAGGCCACACCCTTACCCTCCCCACCCACATCGGAACCAACCCGTCCGTGGGCCCTGTCACCTTGGCCGCCTGACGCATCGCTCTCCTCGCCACTGCGTCTACCTCTCCGGCGGTCAAGCTGCCCCGCCTCTCGGCAACCAATCACCACCTGGCTTGGACCGTCTAACTCCCTAGAGCCATGATCGTAACGCGCCACAACCAATCACCAAGCAGGTATCCTTCGTAGCCCCGCCTTTCGAGGAGGGACACTGGAGAGGAGTTTGCTAAGACGGAGCCATCTAGTAAACCCGCGAGAAGCCGCCGCGCCCAATTACCGGAGAGGAGAACGGAAATCTCCTGGACGCCATGTTAGTTAGGGGCAGAGTCACTTCCGGTGTTTTCTGACGCAAGCTGTGGTGGCGGATAGTGATTGATATTTAATGGATGGCTTCGGCGGGTATATGTCGTTACCTTCTGTTTGGTGTTGAGGTTGTCTATTAAAGAACCCTTATTTTAACGTTTCCAAGTTGCGACTCTCCTTGCAAAACTGCATAAATATGAGCCAAGCCTAACAACCACAGCGGACGCTGACTGGAACACTGACTCCGAAAAGTGCTATTCATACATTCTCTCATTTAATTCCCCCGGAAGGTGAGGTTGAGTTACTTTCTTGAGACTACACGTCTAGTAAATGGAGGTCTGGGATACAAATCCCTATGCCTAACCAAAAAGCCTACTCTTACCCTCCACATCTTGCCTACTCAACTTATCCTACTCCTTGGCTTTGCTGGTCAAGAGGTGGGAAATGGATAGTTTGTTAGCAGCATCACGATCATAGACAATCATAAACCATTTATTTAAGTACATTTTAACTTACGACCTTGCAAGTATTAACGAAAAATCTCAAGCTTGTTCCCATTACATAGTCATTGTTTGTCTTCCCTACCCGCACAGCCTTTCAGGTTAACTTTTAGGTGAAAAAAAAATTGACTTTTTATTAGGAATGAAAGTCAATGAATCTCCAAGACCTTTTTCATTGTCTGTGATTTATGTCATTTTAAAGAATATTGCAAGTCATCATGAGATTAGCAAGATAATAGTTGACTTTGTTTTTTAAATTAAAATGTATTAGATTTGCAGAAGAGTGTTTAACATAAACAGTTAAACTAAATATACTAGGTACTTGTATCCAGGAAACAGTAAATTAGATTATCTTGTGACATTGCATTGTAGTGCCTTCTGATTGCTAATGAAAGAGTAAAGGATGCTTATTTTCGTTTCCAGTTTAGAATCATATCCCAGTTTCCTGAAAATTTGTAATTTATTGTAATAATTTCTAGCTAAGTAGGGTCCTGTATTCAGTTAGTCAAAACCCCTCACTTGCCAGCGTTGAAAATACAGTTCTCATAGTGTCAAAATCAGTTTAGTCCTGAAGCTTCTCTTCTCTTAGATAAATCTGTACGGTTCCTTTGGCTGTTCCACAAATGGGTGATTATTCTGGAAATATGTCCTGATTTATTGGCATCTCAAAGTGTGGAACTCAGAAATGAACAGGAAATTCCAGCATGTTCATCGTGTAAGTTCATGGAGTTTTGTGGTAAGCAGAGTGATAGCCTCCAAAAGATGTTCCTGTTTAAACCTAGGAACTTCGGAATATGTTACCTTATTTGACAAAAAGGACTTTGTAGATGTGATTAAACTAAGGATTTTGAGATGGGAAGGTTATCCTGGATTGTCTAGTGGGCCCAATGTAATCACAAGGATCCTTGTACGTAGAAGAGGGAAGCAGAGTCAGGGAGAGGTTTGAAGATGCTCTGCGGTTGGCTTTGAAGATGGAGGAATGGACCACAAGCCAAGGAATGCAGGTAGCCTCTAGAAGCTGGAGAAGGCAAGGGAACCGTTTCCCCCTAGAGCCTCTGGAAGGAATGCAGCCCTGCTGACACCATGATTTTGGCCCAGTGAAACTCAGTTTAGACTTCTGAGATCGAGAATGTCATCTGCTTGTGGGCCCTACCATCATCAAAGCCAAGAGTAGAGCATCTTGAATCTTTGCCTCTCACTCCTACTTCCATCATCATATCTCCTTTTCTGACTCTCATGCCCCTGTCTGCTTTCAATTATAAGGGCCCCTGTGATTATAATGGGCCTTCCCGGATAATCCAGGACTCTCTCTGCCTCAACATCCTTAATCACATCTGCAAATCCTCTTCACTATGTAAAGTAACATATTCACGGGTTCCAGGGATTAGGATGTGGGCATCTTCTGTCTACCACTCCCAGCTTGGGTGAAGCTTGTCAAGAAGGTTGAAATGAAAGGAGATGAAGTAGAAGCAGCATCCATGGGCCTGATCACATAAGAGCCCTAAAACCAAGGTAAGGATTTTGGATTAAATTCTGTGATGAAATGCCTTACCAGCAGGAGAGTAACATCATTATTTATATTTTATAAAAATCATTTCGGGTGCTGTATGGCAAACTGACTATAGTGGAAGCAGAGAGGCCAACTGTGAGGCTCTTGAAGTACTCCAGGCAAGATATGACAGTGACTTGGATTAAAGGATGTGAGAAGTGATTAGATTCATGATATGTGTTGAAAGTACACAGAGAAGAGTTAAGGATGATTTCAAGGCTTTTGGCTTGAGCAATTGGGTCAATGGTATTATAGTAGAATTAGGATGCTGCAGGAGGAGGTTTTTTGTTTGTTGTGGAGGGAGTAAAAATAAATTTGAAGTACCTGGTAGACATCCAAATGGAGATGGTGAGTAGGCAGTGATATGTACCATAGATCAATCTGGAATTAAGGTGAGACGTAGGTCAGGAGATAAATACTGGAGAGTCATTGCTCTGTACATGATAAAGCATCAGACTTACTGAAAGGTGACTGTATTATTTATTATCCAAGCCAATACATATTTTTTCTTTTTGAATTTTTATTTTGACAATTTCAATCTTACAGAAAAGTTGCAAGAATAATAGAGTTTGCATATGCCTTTCACTCAGATTCCCCAAATGTTAACATTTTACTACAATTGCTTTAATCTTTTCTATCACTTTACTTATCTATATGTGGACGTATTTTTTTGTATCTTTTCACTGTTTGAGAATGAGTTGCAGACATGATACCTCCATACTCCTAAATACTTCGGTGAGTTTTTTTTTTTTCCTACAAAAGACATTCTTTTACATGAGTGGTTCTCAAAGTATGGTTCCAGGGCCAGCAGCAACTGCTATAGAAACCTAAATTATAGGGCCCCACCCAGGATCAACTAATTTTGATAATTTTGCTGTGGTTATGTGAGGAAGTTAACATGATTTTCAAAACTATTATCTACTCTAAAGCCATTACTTAGATTTCACCAATTGTCCCTGTAAAATCTTTGATAGCAGAAGTACCAAATGGGACACTTTTGAGATTAAAGAGGACCACTATCAATAATTTCACCACGGCAAATTGGTGAAGTATGATCACATAGGGCAGTCTGGGAGGTATAATTAATTTTTTTAAATAAAGACATTTGGAGAATAACTGTTACCTAGAGAAGAGGGCCAGGAACGGAACCCATTGAGAGGTCTGGAGCAGGAGGCTCCCTAGGAAGGAGAAATAGCATCCAGGGAAGTAGGAGAGTGAAGACCACTGCTGAAAAGAGGCAACGGTCAACAGTGGCAAATGATGCCAAGAGGTCTAGAATGATGAGAACTGGAACTGCCTAGAGGATTTTTTAAGTGGAGGTCCTTAGTGACCTTGACAAGAGGAAAATGGTTTGAAAAAAGAAACATGAGAAAGTGGACACAATAGATAGAAAATTCTCTTAAAAAGGAGCAAAGACATGGAGGGATATGTGAGGTTAAGGAAGGTTTTGTGCCTTTGAGGCATCCTACATTATGTTGATTACTGCTAGGAAAAATTCTTTGTAGATACGTCTAGGCTGATTTACAAACTACTGATCCCTGGGTCTCACTCTCAGAGTCTGATTTAATTGATCTGGCATGTGGCCAGGTTCAAAGGGATTTTTTTAAAGCTCCCCAAGTGATTTTAACGTGCAGTCAGGGGTGAGAACCACTGCTAGAGGGAGAAAAAAATGGATGCAAGGAGCGTTTATTTGGTGGGCCAAGACCTTATGTGGCTGAAAAATGAAGCGTTACGGTGTTTCAGTCAGCAAACATGGCCAGCACTGCTTGGATTATCAAATCTTTTCAGTTACAGTATCCAATTTTCCTACAAGCGTCCATAAGGCAAGTGAAGAAGGTCTTATACCACTAACTCCACTCCCTGAGACACAAGAAAGGAAGAAAGAAAAACCACCTCCGTACGGCCTTCCGGGGCCCAGGCTCAGGAACCTTTATTCCACCACGTTTTGCCTGGCCATTTGCCCAGGGCCCTGGCACGCCCGCCGCACCGCGCCACGTCAGTGCGCACGCGCTGGACCAGCGCGGCGAGAGCCGGGGTCCCAAGCCTGCGCTGCCGCCCTCCGCCTGCTCCCGCGGCTCCTCCCTCCTCTCGAGCTTCTCCCCGTGCGGCCGCGCGGGAGGGAGGCCGAGATGGCAGATGAGATCGCCAAGGCTCAGGCCGCTCGGCCTGGTGGGGACACGATCTTCGGGAAGATCATTCGCAAGGAAATCCCAGCCAAAATCATTTTTGAGGATGACCAGGTAGGCACCAGGCGCCCGTGGGCTGAGGCAGGGCGGCCGCCCGTGGACACGGGGGTCTCCCACGAGGGCATGGAAGGGCAGGGCGGCGCTGCGGGGAAGGGAACTGACCGGACCGCCCCACGCGGCCTCTGCCGCGGGCCCCCAGCCAGCGGGCAGGGCCGCGGCCGCTCCGAGGCGGCCTGCCGGCGCGTGCCGGCGCTCCGGTTACGCGTTATCAGCCCCGGGCGCGGGCCAGGCCACCGGGCACACGCGGGGCCCGCACTGCGGGGTTTGACCCGCGTGGGGGGCGCGCCGGGCTCTCGGCGTGGGCGCCCGCCGGCTTCCCCGCTGCCTCGGACCTCGCCTGTGTCAGGAATCCCACAATCTCGCCAGCGCTCTGCCTGACAGGGAGAAACCCGATCGCGCCTTGACTCGGGCCCAATCTCCGCGATCTCCCGCGCACGGCCGGCCTGGCCCGGCGCCTCTCCGCGCGGCGCGGGGCTGGGGGTCGGGGCGCACGGGCTGCGGGGGGCGCGCAGACGCGCTGGCCCGCCGGGTTCACACCTCGCCCCGCATCTTCCCCCAGACCACGTCCTCCCCAACCTCCCCCCACCCCCGCCCCCGCTCTCGGGCTGCATACTCTCGAGGCAGAAGTGGGCCTCTCCGAGGAAAAGTGATTCTATTTATATTTGACAGGAAGCCATTTTATGACTAAGAATGTAATTTTTGTTGATATTATTGTAGGTGCGAGTCTGTTCTAGAAAGGCCGAGTTGAAGTGACTTAGTGTAAAGCCTTTAGCGGGCAGTTGTATATACGTGTGTGGATCTCAAGCAAAGCTGGGCAGGAGGTTGGTTGAATTAGAAAAAGTTTTGTAAACTTGTTAAATTAACGTTAAGAAATATGGAATAAAAGAGAAACATTTAGCGCTACTAGTAGCGTTCTTCGATTCAAAACGTTATCTAAGATTTGATTATAGATTCCTTGAAGTGAATTTTATTTAAATATCTTTATCACTAGTTAGGGAAATTGTTCTGTTTTAGAAAATGTGCATTTCTCTTTAAATACTTTCAGTTGCTTTTTGTAAATGATTGTTGAAATACTGACTTTTGAACAACTTAAGTGTGACAGTGTAACAGCATAAATCATCTGAATGATACAGCGTTTTGCATGGGGAACCGAATAGAATCACTCCTAGATAAGCAGAGAGAGGTTCTATTAAGCAGCTTCCCTCAGGGGTCCTTGTTCCGAGAGTGGTTGTCACTTTGCTGTGTCCCCGGGAGGAGGTGAGTTCACAGGCCGCACACACCGCCATCTTGACACCAGCGTCTGTTAAGCATCCTCCACCCCCAGGAGAGAGCGAGAGACACAAAAACATTCATGTAATTTGTCTAAATGCTACTTAGCCTCTTCATTTCTACAAAGGAGAGTAGGTATATTTCTTAAATAGTTGAGTAAAGTGGGAAGAAAAAGGAATTAGTCAAATATCAGACAAATTGCATGATTACAAAACCAATCACTGCAGTAAAAGAAAAACCCAGGAAATGGTGCAGCCGGGGCTCCTGACCCAGGAACGGTGGCCAGGGGAATCAGAGATTTCCTCTGGAAATGATACCTGTGCTGAGAGCTGAGGAATGAATAGCAGTTAAGTTAGACAAAAGTTGGAGGGGAGACGATCTTTGTGGTAGAGGGAACAGCAATTGAAAAAGCCCTGAGGGTGGAGAGAGAGGACGGACAGTGTGACTTGAGCGTGAAGAGTTGCATGAGATCAGACTGGAAAGGTAGACAAGGATTAGCATGCCTTATTTCTACTTATCCTTTGGATCTCAGTGTAAATGCTACTCCCTTAGAGTGGGTTTTTCCTGACCATGCAATCTAAATCATGTTTTTCTGTGATAATCATTTCTTTCACCTTTTTCTTTTCTAACATAGGATCTTTGGTTAATTATACCTTTATTTGTTTAAAGTCAGTCTTCCCATTAGACTGTAAATTTTATGAAAGGGATCAGGGGATCGCATGTATTGTGTGCACTTCTGATTTCCTAGCATCTACTGCAGTGTCTCTCATAGGGTTAGTACAAAAGAATGGTAAGCCCACAAGATGATGTAGTACTAAAACTTTGATTTTTTTTTCCCCCTTTTCCCTAGTGCCTTGCTTTCCATGACATTTCCCCTCAAGCGCCAACACATTTTCTGGTGATACCCAAGAAACATATATCCCAGATTTCTGTAGCAGAAGATGATGATGAAAGTGTAAGTAAATTTACTAACATAATTTATTTTCTTTCTTTTTAAATTGGGAGACTAAATTTTGACCTTAAAGTGATGTCACATTTTCATTTTGCTAAGGGCATTCACTACTGAGGAAAACCAGAAAATCCTTAATGCTTCAATGCAATATATAAATAGTTGGATTTTTTTAATTGGACATAATTGATATATAACATATTAGTTTTAGCTGTACAACATAGTGATTTGATACATGTATATATTACAAAATCATCACCACAATAAGTCTAGTTAACATCCATCACCACAAATTCTTAAGCAAAAAGTGTTCCAAGCAAGGATTAGTTGGTGAGACTCATTATCCTCAACAAAGAAATAGTATGTCATACAAAAGAGGGTTCAATGACTCTTCTTCTATTAATGCTGTTAAAGGAAAGAAGAATAAGTATTTGGTTTTGCCAGGAGGTATAGACCTCAATTAAAGTTTTTCCTAATGCTCTTTGTAGTAGATTGTATAATTGTTCATAAATACTATTCTTCATTAGGGGTGCATTATACTTCATGCCTCATTGATGTCAGGCCTGGTCGTATGACTTGATTTGGCCAAGGAATGCAAACAGAAGTGGTATATGTCTTTTGAGTAGGAACTTCAAGAGCTAGCAACTGTTTTAGCGTGTTCTCTCTTCCCTCTGCCACTGTGATCATATAGAAACTGCTCCATCAGCCTGGGTTTCAAAGTGAAAAAGATTTAGAATATAGAGCCTGGTCAACTTATGATGAATGTGTAGTAAGCACAAGAAATGTATTTTTGTTGTAAACCAGATTTTGGGATGGTTTTTACCACAGTGTAACCAAACCTATCCTAATTGATATCCTCTTTTCTAACAAGAAAGCAAGATATTTTGCTTTATTAAGAAAATTTAAATCTCTTGGAGTATGATTTTAAAATTGTTTTAATTGAGCAGTAGATATATATCTCTAATTTGTTTATTGAAATTAAGGAATAAATACCTAATCTTAATGAGTTTTTAATTGTAAATTATGTTGTATTAGGATTAAAAGGGTTTCCAGATAATTGCCCAAAGGAGTATGTTTCAACTTGGCAGTTTTTTAATTTAGTATTTCAACTTGGTGGTTTGCAAGAAGTTGTAAATTGCCTGTTCTTAAGAAACGTTTTTTTCTCTTCTAGCTTCTTGGACATTTAATGATTGTTGGCAAGAAATGTGCTGCTGATCTGGGCCTGAAGAAAGGTTACCGAATGGTGGTGAATGAAGGTTCAGATGGGGGACAGTCTGTCTATCATGTTCATCTCCATGTTCTTGGAGGTCGGCAGATGAATTGGCCTCCTGGTTAAGCATGTTTTAGGGATAATTTTCCCTTGTCTAGTCACTGATCAAATTTGCAAGTTCCAATATGTTAAACGGTATCCTTATTTTTGCCTGTGTGTGGAGAGATTGAGAAATAATTTAAAAAACCCATACACAATAAAAGATGCTGTTGCATGGTTTACAGTCTCTCTGAATTCTGTATGTGATTTATTATTTTAATAAATATATTTGTTGGAATGGATAAAGATAGAGTTCATAATTTGGGAGGTTTCTTGTTTTTTCTCCTGAAGGAGGACTCAACATATCTACGTTGTTATAATGGTGGGACTGGTCTTTGAAGACAAATTGTAAGATTTCATAAATTTAGCTTTAGCTTTGAAATATCCTTTTAGGGTAAAATATTAGTGCAGGAGAAGATTTTCTAATCTAATTCTCTCATTTTCTAGCATAAAAGAGTATGTGATATGATTGATCCAGAAAATGACAGTTTTGGGTATAGAAACAATGCCTTTTGTCCAGCCGACATGTTTCCCCGGGACTGTTGGGGTAGTTTGGAAGGGATGAAAGTAGGTTTGTCACAGAATCACTGTTTACCCTGTGAAGCCATACATTGGTATTTCCTTGTGATGTAAACTTTGTCTGAATATTTATTATGAAGACTTGAAAACATTACTTAGAATTAACTTTCCAAATTGAAAACTCACTGTTTTGAATGTGTATGTGCACATTAGCAAAATAAAATTAAGTTGTGAATGAGTCTGGCCATGTGGAGTTGGGGAGGGAAGCTCAGAGTCTTTGTTCTTCTATAGACTGACAACCAAACTCTGTTTTTAGTCTTGCCATGTACCCTAGCCTTTCTAGGTTTGTGAAGGGCAACTAGTTTTGCCTCTTGGCTTTCCTTCGTGTAAGCATTTTCCAGCTTCCAAAATTTATTTGATACTTCTTGTCTGCTTTTGTCTCCTCTCATTCTCTTTGTGCTTATGGGTTCCTTCTATTTGGTGGTGGTGGTGGGGGGTTAATATAAATTTTATTTAATTGAGGTATAATTGACATATAACATTGTGTTAGTTTCAGGTATACAATATAATGATTCGATATTTGTACATATTGCAAAATGATCACCACAAGTCTAGTTAACATCCATCACCATACATAGTTAGAAAAATTTTTTTGTCATAAGGCCTTTTAAGATTTGCTCTCTGAGAGGCCAGCCTGGTGGCATAAAGGTTAATTTCGCACACTTTGCTTTGGCAGCCTGGGGTTTGTGGGTTTGGATCCCAGGTGTGGACCTGCACTCTGCTCATCAAGCCATGCTGTAGTGGCATCCCACATAACAAAATAGAGGAAGATCGGCCCAGATGTTAGCTCAGGGCCATTCTTCCTCACTGAAAACAAAACAAAACAAAAAAAGATTTACTCTCTTAGCAACTTTCAAATATGCAAAAGTATTACTGTGTTACCGTGCTGTATATTACATCCCCAAGGGGTCCTTCCATTTTTAATCTCTAAAAAGATCATTTTAGTAGGATTTGACACATTCAATTAAAAATTGTTATTCTTCTAAATTTTTTATTTTGTTACTGATTTTTAAATATTTTTGGAGGGGACTAGGGAAATTGGCTGTTTATGTCTTAGAAATAATTTTTTCCCAATTGTCATTTTTTTTACTTTGTTTATGGCATTTAAAATATTTGTATAGTTAATGTATTAATTTTTTATTTCATATTTTAAAAGCCTTTCCCATGTCAAGAGGGTTTTTAAAAATTATTCTTTTTCTCCTTGCACTTCTTTTTTTTTAAAGATTTTATTTTTTTCCTTTTTCTCCCCAAAGCCCCCCGGTGCATAGTTGTATATTCTTAGTTGTGGGTCCTTCTAGTTGTGGCATGTGGGACGCCGCCTCAGCGTGGTTCGATGAACAGTGCCATGTCCGTGCCCAGGATTTGAACCGACGAAACACTGGGCAGCCTGCAGCGGAGCTCGTGAACCTAACCACTCGGCCACGGGGCCAGCCCCTCCTTACACTTTTATGACTTTTTTTTTAAATGTGGGAAGGTCTGGGGAGGAGTTTTGGAGGAATTTGTGTCACTTATAAAGAATATAAAATGAGAGAAGCATTTGTATTATGTATAAGAGGGTTGTGTCTGTTTTCTTTGGGCATATTGTCTTTCCCACTGATTTTGTCAAACCAGTGCTAATAAATCAGGTAGACAACCACTAAGTTGTCTTGCTGGTTGCTGGTTGTGTCTGTGAACTTTCTTTTTGTTTCATACTGAAGATTATTTTGCACTTTTCTTAGAAAAAGTGCAGTTGGTTTGACATGGATTCATTGTACTTTGTTTGAAAATGACCTGAAAGCTTGGACAGCTTCATATTAGTTTTTTAAAAGTCAAGATTATTGAGTTAAAATTTAAATACAGAATTTAAAAAGTGTACAGCTTGATGAGTTTTGACAAATGTATATAGTCATGTATCCATCACCACAATCAAGTATAGAATATTTTAGTCACTCCAAAAAGACCTATTAGGAGACCATTTTATAATCCATGCAAGAGGTGGTGGTATCTTGGACCAGTATGATAGTGATGGAGCTGAGGAGAAGTGATCAGATTCATCATGTATTCTGAAGGTAAAGTTGGCAGGATTTGCCAATGTGTAAAATATGGGGGTAAGACAAAGAGAGGAGTCAGGGATTTATTATTGGTCAAGGTTCCAGGGACCGACTGGCTGGTTCTGCTGCTGCTTTTGCCTGAGCTTAGTCGTGTTGCTGTGTTCTGTTGAAGGTTGGAAGGGCCAAGATGATTGCACTCAGATGTCTCACAGTTGGTACTGGCAGTCACCTGGGGTCTTTTGATTCTCCTGTATGGCTGGCCCCTTATTCTTCTGTAGGCTAGATCAGCTTACGTGGCAGTCACATGGTAATAAACAATTATTTAAAATAATTAGAATTTATTATTTCTCATCATTTTGTGTGTTGGTTGGGCAGTTTTGCTTATCTCACCTGGGCTCCCTCATGTAGGGTGGATGGAATGGATTCAGCTGAGACAACTGGGATGGCTTGGCCGCTTTCCATGTTGTCTTTCACCCCAAGATGCTTCACAGCATAATGTTCTCAGGGCAGAATTTCAAGAGGGCAAAACAGAAGCTGCAAATCCCCTTGAGGCCTAGGCTTCAGAGCTCAAATAACGTCACTTCCACTATATCCTGTTGGTAGACTCAAGTTAAAAGTCCAGCTTGATTTAAGGATTTGGAGAAACAGAGTTCACTTATGCATGGGAGAACCAGAAAAGTCACCTTGCAAAGGGACGTGCATACTAGGATGGGAGGAAGATATAGCCATTAAACAATCTACCCCACCAACATTATGTTGACTTAGCTACTTTCTCTCCTCCTGCCATTAAGACTAATTGCTTCTGTATCTCTGTGTGACTTGAGTTCATACTTCCTAAGAGAAGACGACTCCTAAGGTGCAAACCTGGGGTCAGATGACCTCGTAGGCTGCAGAATAGCCTATTAATGGCTGATCAGCTTTCACTGTGGTGAGGCAATCTGGTATCCAGGGTAGCCAGTGGGTAAAGAACTCATAGACTCATATAGAAAGGGATAGTGGGTGTGGCAGGTCCTCTGAGGCTTTCCTGAAGCGGTCAATATAGGTACTTTGCTTGACCAGTACAGTGTACCTGAAAAAAGGTATAGCGGGTACAAATATCCACCTATAACTCAAGTATGCAAGAAATACACCTCTTTTTGATTTTCTGTAACAACTTATTTTCTGTTTTGAGTCTCTGATCCATCATGGTGGAAGATTCTTAATATTAGTCAATTTAAAGTTTCCCCCTTCCATTGCTGGTGTTATACCTAGTTTCTAGGGGGTCTTACATAGTGTCATGGCATTAGGAGGGGCCAGCTAGGCCTCTTTGTCATTAGTCTCTACAGTGTACCTGAGACTTTTATTTCATTTAATCCTTATTCATCAATCCCTGTTGGTTGACATTTTGTAATAATTATGACCATGGTTATGATAGTAATTATGATAGTTTTATGATAGTATTAATAGCAATTGCTATTTATTTAGTGCCTGCTATGAGACAGGCACTGTGCTGTACGTATTAAATATAGTATTGCTAAAAAATGAACAACTTTGTTTACATCTATTACATCCTGTGGCATTTTCTCAGAGAATTATGTGTATAATGGACACTTACAATTATTGATGTCCAGCATTTGAGCCTCCTTCCTATTTGAGAGATTCCTTGCCTTCCAAAAGAGAAGTGAAAATGAACAGACATCTAGTACTCTGGCTTCTCTGCCAGCTGGGATGTAGGCCCTTGACTTAGGCTCTGCCAATCAGATGCACTTATCTGGGATTTTGAATTTGAAACTAATGACACAAAGAAACAAGGGCAGTGGAGACTTCTTTCTGGTGTCAGTGGCAGTAGCATCCAGTTGACAGGCACAACAGTACCTGTGTTGCCAACCCTTGGGTCCAGTACTGAATACCAGGGATGAAAACGGTGCAAACTAGTTTCTGTGTTCAGTGCCAGCAGTAGCAGTGCCTCAACAGACTAGCTCTCCAGTTCTGTTTTTGACTGTGGTATTGTCTGCATAGCTTCTTTTTATTCTTACCTATTTTCCCCGTTATTCTGTGAGCTTTACATTAAATATTGTTTCAAGAAATTAACTGCTGGAGAAATTTTTACCAGGAATGGTGGTAGGCAATAGATCCTCAGGGAAAGGTGGAGTGGGGTGGTGGAGAGCTGAGATAGTTATTTGGCCTCGTTTGGGGTGAAGGCAAGGGGAATCCAGCTAACATTAAGGAATTGGATTTTTACAGCCTGTGGTAAATAGTAGCAAAATAGCTAATTAAATCATTTCATGAATCACTTGTACTGATATGCCAATTGAAGGCAAGGCTTTGGGCTTCCAAGTGCTACTGCCATAGAAAGTATGAAGGATAGGCAGAATTCAAGGTCTGTGGAGGTGTTGTGATTGCTTCTAACATTATTGAACACCTTAAAGAATGACAAGCTAAGATTTCTAGATTATTAGCTTGTTATCAATTGCAACTCAAGGACTTTCTGTGACTCTACTATAAAAATCTATGAGAGAGATTTTCAAGACATAAGCTCTTGCAGCTGAAGAACTGAAACAGTTGTAAGCCAGAAAAAAAATTGATCCTCAGGGTGGCCAAATTTTATTAGTTTAATTTATAGCCTGTATCTTATGAGGAAGTTAGGATATTGATCAGGAAAGAGTAGGATTTGAATACTTGGAATGAACTATATTGGAGAATTTGGCTGACTCAGACCACCTCAAATTCCCAACATACTGAACCCCCTTTGTTACTGACGCAGCCTTTCCTCTAGTGTGGAAGCTGCTCTTGACTGCTTGAAGACCTTTGCTCAATTACTTCTCTTACATACTGCAGCTATTCCTGTGCCTGACTCTTTAAAGAGAAAAGGGAACTCTCTCGTGCCTAATCCTCTCCCTTCCATGAACCTCTTATATTTCTTTCTCTGCAATTATTTATCAGAAGATCCCAAGAGATCCTAAATGGCACCTTGGGACCATCCTTAGAACTGCAGAAAGAGATGTTGCCAGGCAAAGCTAGCACTTTCTACTATCGACAGGGATAGAGAAAGCCTGGAAACACACCAGAGTTAATAAACTGAAAGTAAATAAAAAGGATAAAAAGTAGAGCCTAGTGTCGAATGTAAAGAGAACCAAATGAAATCAGCTATGTATAAATATTAAAA